TTTTTTGAAAAAAAAAAAATTAGTTACATCTAATTAATGAAAGTCCACCATGAATTTTGAGCAATGCACCACCTAACATCCATCAATCTTAAATTCTTAACCGACTCAGAGTTAGTTATTGTTGTTCTCATCAAATGAAATCAAAGTCCGAATGTTTACTCTTTTAACAGATCTCAGCAGATTGTGCCAGCAAGATATATATATATATATATAGTAAGCTAAATGGCTTACCTTCCTCGCGAGGGAGACGGGGGGTGGAGGCAACGCGCAGCTGACGGGGGCCAAGACCCCCTCTTCGAGGTTCCAGCCGGCAGCTTCCAGGCCCGAAAAGCATCTGCAGCTCTTGAGAAGGGACAATTTTCTGCCGTTTTTATTCTTTTCGTGATGTCTGAACGCTGCTCCAAAGAGAGGAGCCCCGGGGGTGCCTGGGGTTACTGGTGTTGAGGGGGCCGATGGACCTTCTTCACTTTCCATTATGTCACAAAAATTTGGGGGAACAGTGATTGGCAAGAAATGTGGATTGAAGGAAGGCAATTGAAGCTCAATGATTTGTGTTGTTTTGTTTTGGTGCTTTTCATGTCACTGTAAGTCGAGTGCATTTATAATCTCCCACAAGGTGGTTGGTTTCACTTGGAGAATCTCAATTATAGAAAAAAAGGGGGGGCAATGTGTATATATTAAAGAAGAGTGAGATTTGGTTTCACTACAAGTTATTGCAAAGTTCATTTTCTGAACTTTTTGAATGCTGCAAGTTGCCCCAATTTTTGTCCTGACTTCATTTAATTATTGAGGAAAATTTGATGGATTTGAGGTGAAAATATCAACAGGAAGGTTTTGTAAAGATTTTATAAGCTGATGAGATGCAACTGCATTAATATATACATTTTTCTTTTTGTAAATTTTTCAGACAGGTTAAAGTGCACTGCATACATTGTGAAATTGGGTTCATAATGCAATGTGAACCAAGATTAAAAAGTAATGATATAGCAGATACTGTTTATAAATATGATGAAGATATAAATTATGTTGTCATATTCTGCTGGCAATTTGTATAGAGATATTTTGAATAATCATAATAAAAATAACCTACCAAATATATAA